GCATATTTGTTCTTAAAAATAATAAACTCTTCTTAAGAAAAAATTCCTCATGAAAGTAATTCTTTTTATGTATATTATACATTATATTAAAAACCTTTATTATTCAGTCACATTCTTAAATAGATTTTATACCAGTATAAATAATAACATTGCTCAAATGACCACATTTGGTGAATATAGCAAATACTTGGCCCTTTTTACCAATTTCTTTCTGCCATTCTTTACACAATGAGCTATAAGGCCCATAGGCAGGAAAGAACACCTTTCTAGGGTCTAGCATTTTTCAAGAAGGGCAATGAATTACATAAAGGTGAAATCCATCCTTGATTCCTAATTGCCTTCCTGACGGTGTGTATTGAATGTAGAGACAATAGAGAAGATGTTCTGAATGAACATATCCACTGAAGAGGAACAATCAATGACACAGTTTTATAGTGAGATTTTTCAGGAGAAAGAATTCATTAAGTGAAAAGATAGAGGAATGCTGCTCCAACTCAAGGACATAGAAGGGAAAACAATCATGAAATGTACCTAAGTATTTCAGAGATGACTTCACACTGCCTGATGAAACCAGCCAGGCATTTTGGATGTCACATCCGGATACCAAATACCATGTCTGAACATTTCAGAAAACACTTGACTGCAGCATCTTTCATGATGTATTTCTTTGAATTTTTGCAAGCAAGCTTCTCCAGTTAGAAAAATCACTGTGACCAGAGAACTTGATCATTATAAACCTGAATGTTCTACCTTATAAATTCTAAAACAAAGTTCACTGTGTGGATGTTGGTGGGCTTTTGTGTTTTTGTTTTTTTTAAGAATGTTGAAAACTTAGAAAATTGGAAGAGTAAAAAGAAAAGTAAAATGGCAAACACAACAACAATAACAAAATGATGATAATGAGTTAATAGCTTTATCAGATCTCAGAATCGTGGGATTTTGTGAGTTAAGGCCAAGAATTACACTATCACGTGGTTAATGCCAAGTAGCACATTTTAAAACAGTATTAAAAATTGTAGTTTTTTTTGCCCAGTGGGAAAAGTTTAAGTGATCTACCATAGCTATTTCTCTCTCTTTTTTTTATGAGCTCTGGCTATATCTGAAAATTGGTTTTTTTCCTATAATATTACTGCACCCCAATCTGTTGCATTTTATTTAGAGGAATTAAACACTCAAACATGTAAGTTCATGTAGCATGAAAAACACTGCAGCCCTTTAAAAACAAAGATAAACCTTTTTAAAAAAAAAAATAGAGTTTCCTTCTAGAATAGCTATTTCCCTAAAGAAGAAACTGATACAGAAAATGTCATTAATGTCATTCCAAAATATCTCCTGGGCCAAACTTGCAATTTACTGATGCAAATATTTTGGCTCCAGCTCAGAGAGGAGATGGGAAGTAGTTTCCCCAACTACTGGGCTGTGTCCACACTCTACCAGCAGGACAGAGCGGGCTGTATCATTATTTATCAAGTCAGTCTGTGGAAAGGTGCCTGCCGCCTCCAATTGTCAGCTCCAAAGGCATGCTCTGGCAGGCCCTGCCAAGGCTGGCTCCCTGACAGCGCCTGTTCATTTTCCTGTCATGGCATGCCGGGGCACTTGTACCACTGGGGTTGCGCTGCACAGTGTTATCAGCAGCAGCCAAAGCCTTTTCTTTTTATTGGCAATAATTAAATGCACAAAGTAATGACAGGGAGAAAGGTGGCAAAAGAGGTAGCTCTTTGCACTAAAGAAAAAGTTGGAGATAAGACTTTCCTCACCTACCCTCAGAAATTTTTGTATATGTGTTCAAAGAAAGGATATACTGCAAAGTTTCAAGTTCTACAATAATTCCTCCTTGAATAGAGCAGCATGTGGGGAATTCCTACTCATTTTCCATAGACTAGGTGCGGAGGAAGATTTTTCAGATTCTGTCTGTATTGCTCAGTGTGGCACGGGGTGGGTAAAGTCTCTTTTCCTGAAGACATTATGGCAAAAATGTGCTACAAACTAGAAATAGCTACGTGTTGGTGGCCACTTCCTCATGGCCAAGAAACTCCCAGTGGTGCACAGCCATGTGCATTCCAGAAAAGTTGATGGTCCAAACTGACATACAAACAGATCGGAAGACAAGAGTTGCTGCAGACTGGTTACAGTCTTGAAAAACCTCTAGTGAAATTCTTTCCTGCACTCAAGGTCACCAAAAGTAGGAGGAAAATATATAAAGTACTAACAAAAGTGACAACAACCATCATTCTCACAATACAAATCCCCATTATGCCCCTCCAAACAACTTTTCAGTTCCAGACTGTCTTTTAGACCTTTATGACTTGGCTATCTGGAAAGCAAACATTTCAGGCAGAGAAGCAAAGCTGAATATCAGTCAATCAATTCCCACATGTGGGAATATTTAAAGCAATAGCTTCTTTGACAAAGCAGGGCAAACTAATCACATTGAAAACAAGAAGTCACAAAGGTTCCTGAAAGGGATTACAGAATGGAACAAAAGCAGTGGAATTACAGGGAAAAGGATGGAAATGAAAGCAGAAAGCACTAAAGGAAAGTTTGCCTCTCTCTTGAGTTACTGAGAATTATGTAGCTTCTGAAAAGAGGGTGATCTGGATTTTAATACCATCTCTGCCTGGTTTTCAACACTTTCAAAGACTTAGTTTTCTTAACAGCAGAACACTAATACCTCTTTATAGAATTTTGGTGAACATGAAAGCAAATAGCAGAGAGCAAGTATAGGCTATCTACCATGTTAGCTCATTTCTCCCACCTGTCTTGTCTTGCCCTCTATTGTTGGAGTGTGACTTTTTTGATTATCCTTAAAATCCATTATACATTAGATCTCACTTTGTAGCTTTCTGACAGAACTCAAACACAAGCCTCAGTAGAAATTTACTAGTTGCTTCACCATAAAAAGGACAGACAATCCCTGGGAAAATCATTCACAAAAGCATTTTACTGTGCAGTTTATAACAAATGCAGAAGAATGTGACATCAGGACTGGAGGGAAACTCATTAACAGCCTGCATTATGCAGATGACATAACCTTGTTTTGTAGAAAGTGAAGACTTGAAGCACTTAATGCAGAAGACCCTTAATTTGGAGTACATCGAAACATTAAGAAAAAACAAACAAACAAAAAATCGCCTGTCAAGGACCCCTGTAAAATGCTGAAGAGCAAGGATGTCAGTTTTAAAAGTCTAAGGTGTGCCTTATACAAGTCATGGTATTTTCAATTCTCATTTATGCATCTGAAAGTTGGACAACAAGTAAGGTTGATGAAAAAGCGTAGATGTATTTGAATAATGTATTGGGGAAGAGTACCGAATATCCCATGGGCTGCACAAAGCCAGTCTTGGAGGAAGTGCAAGCAGGTATTCCTGATAAGCAAGGATGGTGAACCTTTACCTCATGTACTTTGGGAATGTTGTCAAAAGAGTCAGTCCTTTGAAAAAAAAGACATTGTGTTGCAAAAACGTGGAGGGTCAGGGAAAGAGATCAAGATCTTCAACAAGTTGTACGGACAGACACAGTGATTTTAACAACAAACCTAAATGTGTGGGAAATTGTGAGGATATGGCAAAGTTCAGAGCTGCTGTTTGTAGAGTTAATACAGGTGGTAGTCAAATTATATAACAGCAACATAACCTCTCTTCAGATATCATATCTTCACTTCCAGTCTGATGTCCTGTCTTGCTAGTTCCTACCAGCAGTGAGTCCACTCTTCCTCACAGGTCAGTCTTTCAAGAATTGAAATCAACAGATACTAATAAGAATAGAGTGGATGGAGTTGCTGAATTTCCCTCTGTGTTCATTCCACACACCTGTAAAATGCATATCAGAATAATTTGAATTTCAAAGGTAACTTGGGTATTTTAATGCTTCACAAAGATGCCTGATGTTTTTCTCGGTGGAAGCCCCACTTCTCTCTTTCAATTGTTCTTCAAAGTAAACTGACCAAATATGTGTATTTGCACGTGTTTGGGGGGGGGAAAAAAGAAAGAAAAGAAAAAAGACCCTGTCACCAGTGGCCCAATCTTGAGACACTGTTGATGAGTCTTGTTAAATATCAAATTAGTCCTATGGTTATTTAAATCCACTAGTGCCTCTAGTCTGGTTTAATTTATAAAGAAGAAATTAACAATTCCAAGTAATGACTAGTTATATCTTCTTTCACTCAATTCCTTTAACAGCTTCATAGATAAATACTCAAAGCCTTAATAGTGAGTTCAAAAGTGCCTTCTAATGGGTTCATTTGTAGCTGATAGTTCTGCTTGGTTTAGCACAGAGCTAGATAACTTCACACTTCATGTAAAAGCAATCCACTTAACATATACAAATTGGAATAGCTGGTTGTCTATTTTCAGGCATAAATCCATGAAGAGTAGGCAATATTTTATATTATCCAGATTAATATGCACCAATAAACCATTCTGCTTTAAACAAACAAAAAAGAAATACAAACAAAAAACAAAACCAAAACTGAAATAAACAAATAAAAGCACTATATAAAAACTTTAGAAACTGAAAACAGGAACTCTAAACTTCCTTAAATAATCTGTTCAAGTTTCACACCTCTGTATCACAATTTTTCTTCTCTTAAAATAATGTACACAACAACAAGGAACTTTCCAAGAGAGCATTAACATGAGGAGCTCACATGGCCTAGTGGAAAGAAGCTGCTTTGCAATCCTGAAGGCATGGGGTTTGAATCCACCAGTCTCTCCAAGGAAAAAAGATGAGTAATCACTTCTTGTGTGATTAACACCTCTGAAAACTGGCCAGAGGGTCAGCTATGGGTCAGTTCAGACTTCACAGTACACAATAATAACAATACAATTTTTAAAAGAAAAGAATGTGTGTGACGGAAGAGGGCATTGACATCACATTTGTAGAAATGACTGAAGGACCCGAGAGAACATTTGTAATGTGGACCTATAACATTTGCAAGATATTTCTTATCTCTTGTTATACCCTCCAGGTGCCTTGTAAGGGGGCCTGTTTATGGAGATTACCTGAGACTGAAAGGAAGTCATCCACTGAGGTGATGTCGTCTACAGCCTCGGTCAAGACTCGGACCTGCTTCTCCCACTGGTCTTTGAACACATCCATGTTATCCTGAGCAACTTTGCTCTGTGGTCGGGCTGCTAGTGTGAGCGCAGCATTGATGACCTATTTGTTAGAAACAATCCAGGGACATGATATCCACATTCTTTAATGAAAAGAACAAGCAGCTCAAAGACCATGGCAAAGCTCTTAAAACCTGGAGTTGTTATAGCAAATGAGCTCTCAATGTTCAGATAAGACAATAAAAAAAACCATACAATTTACAGAAGATAGGTTATCAGCCGTCATTACTTTGTTTGTTTTGCTCTTCTTAAGTTATGGTAATTAACCTCGGGTGTTAAAAAGTCAAATTTCATGTACTTAACACAAATATAGCAGAAGTATATGCTTCTTGCATGTGCAGACTTATAATTAGTCATGGAAGTAAAGTCAACAGATAATGAATGTTTAAATAACCCTTCAAATAAACACAACAAGCACAATTAAGTTAAAAAGCCTGTAATTTCCTTCATTATTCAGAAAAGACTTGAGTAGTTAGAATTTTTTTTTTTAAGAAAGGTAATATATACAATGAACTGTAAGTAGCATTTTTTTTCAGAGAGAAGGAAAGGAAAAAAGCAAAAGAAATAGTCAATCCTCTCATGTAGGGGATCTGCATGAAAGAAAGGAGTTGGCAATTAATATAAGGTCATATTGATTAGCTAAGGTCATATTGATTAGCTAAGGTCAACAATGCCAACAGCAAAATTTTGGTTACTCCAATGATTAGAGTATCAAGATTTATCCATTTAGTCTGGTATCTGATCTAATAGTCCAATGAAATAAAATAAATGAGGCTTACCTGAGGGCACAGACTGTCAATCTGAGTGGCTGCCATTCTTACTAACTTCACTCCTTCCTCATTGTTGGATATGGAACAGGCTAAGTTGGCAACCTGTATTAAAGAAGATTCAAGTGAAAACCGTGTTGAGCCAAAGGAATAATGTACTGTGGCTCGACCTACCAACTTTATAGGAGAATTCCAAGCCAAGAAGTATTATTTCATAAAGAAGATAAGGACAAGGTTCAATATTTAACTAAAAGCTGCTACTGTTTATGCTGAGTGCATTAAACTTTTTTTTTTGCCAGCAAATGAGGGTGTTAATAGCAAATTAATGCTTCAAGATTTGCAAGCACACAAAATGATGCATTTCACTTGGGTTGTTTTAGACAGTCTTTTCATAACTACCACTCTGTTCCATCTTTATTTTTATGTGAACCACCTACCACTCATGTTTGAAACTTATCATTATAATCTTGGACACATAAGTACCAAACTCTGAATACTGAGAGAATGTTGTTGTTGTTAAGGCTGGGAGCTGAACTGATAGAATATTAAAGGAAATTCTTGGATTGCAAAGAAACCCACTGTTGTTGTTGATGATTGCTGTTGAGTCAAGTACAACTCATAAGCAACTCTGAATAAAAGACCTAAAGTCTTTCCATAACTACCCTCATTTCTCCAAGTTCATAGAGTTTCCAGAGGCATGTGGTTTAGGAAGTGGATGCCACTCCTGCTTCCAAACCTCTTTCACAACTGGGAGCTCCACCAAATACTGGCCACACTGGGAAACTATTATGATATTTGGGTCCCAATGGCACAAGTTTCAGCATCAAAGCAAACCCAGGTAACTTCATATAGCACATTGACAAAGAATGATGTACAAAGTGGAAGTATGCTCCTCCAGATGTAACACTACTCTCACTTAGCAATGCTTAAGTGTCATCAAGTCAAATAAAACGCATAGTGACCCTTGCACAAAGTCCTGAACTCTGTTCTATAACTAACATCATTTCCGTGTGTTTATAGAGCTTCCAGAGGCATCTAGTTTAGGAAGTGGATGTCACTTCTGCCTCCCAACCTTACTCAATCTGCAAGTTTCTCCAAACATTTTACATAATGGGCAACCATTATGGTATTTGACAAGACTATGTCACAGTGTTCAGTGTCAGAGCAACTCCAAGTTATTCAGTACAGAAAATAGACAAGCAATTCAGGCGGAAGGAAATGATCCCGCTTGTCTATCAAAGAAAAGGTTTGCTTGTCAAAATCTTTTTAGAAGATGCAAATCCACCAGTGATCAACTCAAATTCTCTTAGTGGTCATGCATATATGATAAATGAATAGAACAGATTGGCATGATCCAATAGGAATGCTGCCAGTACATTAAATTGAAAATTGAAGTCTAAGAGAAAGGTATGCAAATAGACTCGGTGACTTTGGTAATAAGGGTAGGTGAAAATAAGCCTGGCTCCGGATAAAGCAGGGTTCAGAGCTGTTGTACATAGGGTCACTATGAATTGCAGGCAACTTGATGGCACATAACAACAGGAACATACCATCCAATTCAGTTTCCAGATTCAGGGTTTAAATTCTGTTATTCTTGTCCTTCAAGGAGGTATGTTGATAATGCAAGGTCATATTGATTGGCCAAGGTTAGTATCATATGATGCTAACATTATAGCATTGATTTCTTCCCTCAGTCTGATGTCAAGAGGACAGGAGGAGAGGGATTAGAAAGGTTAAAGTAAAGATGTTACCAAGACTAGGAACATTTGGGCAAGAAAAACATATGATTAACAGAACATGCCCAGGAGTATATTAAATATCAAACCTCTCATATCCTGTTCATCTCTGTCCTCCAAAACTAGTCTACTTCCCTATTAGACCTTAAACTAACAGAATTTCACAATTTTCATGCTACATATATATATGTACCATTTCACTGATTTCACATGCAAGCAAGATTTTACTGAAAAGTATCCAAAAACGACTGGAACAGCACATCAACAGAGAACTACCAGAAGTCCAGGCTGGTTTCAGAAGGGGTCGTGGTACTAGAGATATTGTAGCTAATGTTAGATGGATCTTGGCTGAAAGCAGGGAATACCAGAGGAATGTCTATCTGTGTTTCATTGACTATGCAAAGGCATTTGACTGTGTAGATCATAACAAACTGTGGCTGACTCTGAGAAGAATGGGAATCCCAGAACACTTGATCGTTCTAATGCGAAACTAATACTTGGACCAGGAGGCAGTCGTCAGAACAGAGCAAGGGAACACTGCATGGTTCAAAATTGGGAAGGGCGTATGCCAGGGATGCATCCTATCTCCATACCTTTTCAACCTATATGCAGAACAGATTATCCGGGAGGCTGGGCTCTATGAGGAGAAATGTGGGGTCAAGATTGGTGGACGATTTATCAACAACCTGCGTTATGCAGATGACACAACCCTGCTTACAGAAACTGAAGAGGACCTGAAGCGCCTGCTGCAGAGTGTCAAGGACTGCAGCCTACAATATGGATTGTGGCTCAATGTCAAGAAGACAAAGATTCTCACTACTGGACTAATCGGCAGCATCAGGATGGATGGTGAAGAGATTGAGATTGTACACAGCTTTAGTTTGCTTGGCTCCATAGTCAACAGTCTTGGCACCAGCAGCCAGGAAATTAAAAGGCGCATTGTCATGGGAAAGTCTGCTGTTAGGGACCTCTCCAAAGTGCTGAAGAGCAATGGTGTCTCTCTGGAGACTAAGGTGCGTCTGATACAGGCCATGGTCTTCGCAATCACCTGTTATGCATCAGAGAGTTGGACAATGACCAAGCAGGATACAAGGAGAATTGATGCCTTTGAGCTGTGGTGCTGGAGAAGAGTATTGAGAATACCATGGACTGCTAGGAAAACAAACAGATTTGTCCTGGAAAGGGTTAAACCAGGTGGCTCCTTGGAGGCAAGGATTCTGAGGCTCCGTCTAACACACTTTGGACATGTTGTGAGGAGAGACTGGTCCTTAGAGAGGGACATCATGCTTGGGAGTGTGGAGGGACGGCGCAGGAGAGGAAGGCCCTCTATGAGGTGGATTGATTCAGTGACTGGGATAATTGGGATGGGAGTGTCGGAGACAGTGCGATTTGCACAGGACAGAGCAGAGTTTAGGGTGGTTGTACATAGGGTCGCTATGAGTCGCAGGCGACTCGACGGCACATAACAACAACAACATATATATATATATATATATATATATATATATATATAGTTCCTAACTTGAAAGAAATTATCAGCATTGTGGTCTAGTAGAGAGAACACAGAATAGGAATTTAGAAATTACTCTTTCTATATCAATAGGGCACACAGATTGAATTCACCAGCTTTTGCACTGAAGTATGTTGGCAATCCCCTCCCATACAATTTTCTGTCTCTGAAAGGCCACTGGAGGGTCAGCTATAGATCTCATCTGATACTATAATATATAACCACAACAATTATCTATGACATAATATTAAGTTACTTCACATTTGGAGGAGTATTTCCTTACAAAGAAATGAGATAGGTGGTGATACTGTGCATTCCATCAGAATTTACTTCAATAAATTAATCAGTAATTAAAAGAATCCTGTTTTTCAGCTTTGAGTGAGGTTTTTGTTGTGTGTAATCGGCTCAGAACGGACTCATAGCTGATCCTTGAGTGGGTTTTGAGAGGTTGTAAATTACATTAGTAGAGATTGCCCATTTATTTCTCATAGAACAGTTAGTGGATTTGAATCACATGTCTTTTGGTTGTCAGTGCAGCTTCTTACTACTAGGCTGGCAGTGCTCCCAACTGAGTAAGATAGAGAAAAAAGTCTATGACAGTATATTCTATGAGAAAACTTAGATCAATATCTAAAACAACCCAAACTTAATAGTTTCTAACTTTTTACAGTTTACCTTTGGCTCTTTGTTAACAACCAGCCAGCCTAGGCCAGATGAGATATTTAGGACCAGATCTGAGTCAGAAACACACAGCTCCTCACAGAGTCACATTGCTATAACACTTTTTGTGTCTTACAGAAATACTCAATATTTTACTTAGTTTTCAATGAAGCCTGGGAGAAACATAAGTGATCTTTTTTAACATCAATTTGCAGGAAAGATATTGAGTACTCAAGGTTATATTTCTTGGAAGCAGAGCAGGGACTAACACTTCAGGCTTCCTAACTTCAGTTACTTTTGTTGTTTTATGTTGTCTCTGCATTGACTTTTGAATAAGCTACACTATATATGCATTCTATACTTAAGTCTCCTATAAAACACTATCTGTACTTGACTGATAATTAGGTTGGTGCTTTGAATATACCCAGAAGCTCAGCAAAATAAAGTCCTGATGATCTACTTCCATAATGGTTACAGCCAATAAAACTCTGGAATTCAACACAGAGTGTGTCCATAAGTTGGAATCAACTTGAAGGCAGTGAGTATATTCTAGTTCATGGTATTTTTTTTCATTTTTTTTTATTAATTTAGTTTGTTTATTTTTCATTTCAATGAACATCTACAGAGATTTTGGAATTCCATTCATTCATTGTTGCCCCCTTTTCCCCGCACAACCCCCTCCCCCTCCCTCCCTCCCTTTTGCTCCTCTCCTTGAAAAGC